CCTAAAATAAGTAACAAAGAGTCGGAACGGTTTTGTTTAAAAGCCGGATAAAGTAAAACACTTGAAATTCAACCTGAAAAAAAAAAACGACATCCCCATACTTGTTGATGAAAAAAAGTTAAAGACGGGACAGTATATTGTGCCTGTGTGCCTGTGTGTGCCTGTGTCTGTGTTTGTGTGTGTGTGTGTGTAAGTGTGAGTGCTTCGGCTTGACAAAGAATATTTTTTACCTTTATGCAATATCTTATGTTTCGCTAATGGTTAGTTTAGTAAAATATATGTGAACTCTCCAGGTGATTTGAAGCCCCCATTCAGTTTATACAATCAATTTTAACTATTTACCTTTATTTTGAGTTTTTTTTTTTTATCACCTTTCCTATGGTACCGCAAACATTAGTGTGTGTGTGTATATATAAACGATACAACCGACCATGTTTAAATAACGTATAAGTCTAACTACCTACTACCTGGTTTCTTATATATAAATTTTTTTTTTTTTTTAAAAGAAAAAAAAAAAAAAAACGAAATCGATATTTTTAATGGTCAGCAAAAGGAAAACATAATGTAAAGTTAATATTAATGTCCGCGACTCTTTTTTTTTTTATTTTTTTCCTATTCATTCTTTGACTTTTATGTACATAACTCACCGAAAATTTTTATCACGTCTTTTTTTGAACAAATCGTTAATAAAAAAAATTTTTTGGTCATGACCTTTTCGCATTTTTTTAAAGTGAAATTTTCTTTTAACTAAACAACCCTTCCCCGCCCCCCCCCCCCAAAAAAAAAATCCCATGCAATTGTAATAATGATTTTTTCCCCCCTTTTTATTTATTTATTTATTATTATTAATTATAATATTGATCATTCATTCATTTCTTTCATTTTGTATAAATGATTATTATTAAAGGTGTCACGACGATTTCTCACTAATACATAAGCGAAATAAGGTGGTGGTGGTTTTGTTGTGGTTGTTGTAATAAAAAAATTTCAGGTATGGATACCCCCAAAAAAAAAAAAAGGCAACTTAGAAAGTGAAGAAGAAGTTTAAAAGGTTTTGTTTTAGTAGATTGTTTAAATACCATCAAAGTGAATTAAAAAAAAAAAAAAAAAAAGAGGGTTGTGGTGGTGGTGATGGTGGTGGTGGGAGACACACTGGGTCAGTGAACAATTTCAAGTTGAATCTCATAAAAAAAAAAAAAAAAACTCCTTCAGTGTGTTTCTTTTTATGACTTTATAATAGATTTTAACGTTATTTTTTTTTTTTTTTTTTTTTTTTTTTTTTCCCCCCAAGACGGTTAAAAAACAATTTTCAATTTTGTTCCCTGAATAAAAAAGGTACGGCGTATTATGTAAATTTGAGAAAATTTTTTTTTTTTTTTTTTTTTTTTTGGGCAAAAAATTTTTTTTTTCCCCCCCCATCGTTTTCCAAAATTTTGGGCCCCTTCCAACAAAAAAAAAAAATTTTTTTTTTTTTTTGTTTTAAAGTTAAAAAAACGTTTTACGTTGTTGAAAACAAAACCCCACAAATGGATTTTTTTTTTTTTTTAATTTATTAATTTTACCAAATTTTTGGGTCGGTTTGTTAATAAAAACTATTCTTTCATTCCCCCGATTTATTATTATTATTATAGCGAAAAAAAAAAAAAATAAAAGGAAGCGTGAAAAACATAAAAAAAAAAAAGTTTTAAGGATGTGTTAAATGTTTTTTGTTGTTGTTGTTTAAATGTTCGAAACACGACGCGTGAGTAAACTGTTTAGATTTTAAACGGTTAATTTAAATATTTTAAAATCAATTATTATTGGTTATTATTTAGTCGCATGTGATTTCACGGGTTCAAAAACAATCGGTAAAAAAACTAGAATTTTTTTTTTTTTTCGAAAAAAAAAAAAAAAGTTTTCGAACGTGAGACATAGAAATATGTATAATCCAAATGAAAGAAAGGGCCATTAACGTTGAATGTACAAGGAGAGAGAGAGAGAGAGAGAGAGAGGGAAAGAGTAAACAACCTGGAATTTCAAATGAGTATGGTAATTTTTCTGTTTGTGAATGCTTTTAGAATAACTTTTTGAAAACGTCATTTATTCAAAGTCGAGTGCAGAATCAACACAATCTTTCCAGAAAAAAAAAAAAAAAAATTTTTTTTCTACTACTACCCCCTCCCCTCCCTGCCCCCTTCCATCCCTCTCCTCTCCCCTCCCAGGGTTCGTTTACTCTCCAAATAACTGAACTATTTCCAAACAAACAAACAAACAAACAAAAAACCTTTTTTTTTTTTTAATGAAAAATTCCTTTGTGTACGTCATATCCATTTATTAAATAATAATATTATTATTAAAATATTGATAATACATGTCGATGATTTCAAAAAAAAATTATTTATTTATTTATTTTGTTTAATGTATGAAAAATTAAAATAAATATAAATTTGTGGTTGTGGTTGTTGTTGTTGTTGTTACCATTTGCAATAATCCAAGAATTTTTTTTAAGGTGGAGTTTACCTACAGTATCGATAATCGTCTTCGCCTATCATGCATGAAGAACACTTAGACTCTCTTCATCCAATGAAAACCTTCCTTCCTTCCTTTTATCCAATTTTTTTTTTTTTTTTTTTTTTTTTTTTTTTTAAATATATTTATTTCATTTTGAAAATTTTTAAACTTATAAATATTAAGAATTGTAAAAAAAATGATTTATCATTATCAGGAGGTATTTTCATTCTTATCAGTAACAACACCACCACCCACGAAATTAACAAATTATTTTCTCAGTGTAAAAAAATTGGAAAACTGGAAAATTTGAAGAAATTATCAGGGTAGAATGTAGATTTTAGAATGTAGGAGGTAGATTTCAAAACATGTGCTGTCGGTTTAAATATTATTATTAATATTATTAGGATTTGAATGAGGGAAGAAGGTGGAGTTTACCTACATGTTTGATTCTTACACTATTGGTTAATGTAACATACAAAATAAAATCCTATCGTTACATCATTATCATTATCATTATTATTATTAACGGTATATCTTTAAGAAAATTTATTTATTGGTTAGTGTAGAAAACATATATATATAAATAAAATTAATAATAATAATAATAATAATAGTTTTTAAAAAAATTAAATTCTTTATCTAATGAGAAATTAAAAGAAAAACGTGAGAGTATTTATTTATTTACTTATTTATTTTTTAATTAATAATTAATTAATTAAAGTAAAAATAAAAATAAAAAATTAACGGTAAAATTTTTATATTTTGTTTTTGTTACAGGTAAGAAGAAAAAAATCTTGGGAAAAAAAATTATAAGGTAAATTAATATAAAAATATATATTTAATAGATTATTATTATTATTATTAAGGGGGATGAAAATTTTAAATGGCGGTTAAAATTAATTTAGGGGTTATTATTATTATTAATCGTGAAATTGTTTTTTTAATAGTCGTATTTGCCATTTTTTTTTTAAATATTATTTGCACGACCTGGTTTAAAACCGAATATTTATTTATTTTTAATTGATTTATTTTGTATAAAAGATTTAAGATGGCGGAACTTACGTCGGATTACGATTATTTACGGTTTGTGGAATTTAAAAAAAAAAAAAAAACAAATATTATTAAGAATAGGTGGATGAAATTTTGCAATAGTTTTATTATATGATTTCCCCCATTTTTTAATTTAAATGGCGAAAAAATTTTATAAAGAAAGAAACTTAAATATAAATATAATTTAACCCGGTAACAATTTCGATTGGCATTCGGTTAGGAGTGGCTTACCTACAGCATCGTTTTTCCCTTTTTTTACTTGTATTGGATAATGTTCGGTCCTTAAGATTTTTATTGGCCTGCAACAACTTGGTGTTGGTGATGGTGTTGTTGTTGTTGTTGTTGTTCTTACTATGGGGAAGATTTTTTTTTTTTATTATTGATTGAAATTCAAAATTTCCATTTGATTACATCATTACCTGATGATGAAACATTTTAAATATTCAATGAATGATGATAACATAATTATTTTTCATTTTCTTATAAAATATATTTACCTGATAGGTTTATTTTATATTCATTTGTGTGTCATGAATTAAAATGTTTTTTTTTTTTTTTTTATTTAATAACAATAATATGTTGTGTGTTTGTTTTGATTCCCTACTACATAAATAAAATTTTTAATTTATTAAAAATAAAAAAGAAAAGTTCATTAATGTAAAAAGTATTTTCTCTCTCTCTCTCTCTTTTTTGTATTGCTTTCAAGCACATTTCTCATTGAATAAAAGATTTTGCACCATCCCTTTTATTTTTTTTTTTGTTTTATGTCGTTCTATGTTTCCCATAGAAAATTGAGAAGGTGCAGCCAGTTGAATATTATTAATGCATTGTTTGTTAATGTTTTTGTCATTGTATTGCCGAGAATATTTTTAGCATTAATTACATCTTAGTATTATTCATAACTTATATATCAGACATTGAACATGAAATTTTTTTCTTTTCTTTTATTTTACTTGCACGTGTCAACAGACACGTGTGTTTCATTTCCACGTGTGTTGTGTAATATTTTAAAATCGATGCTTTACCTAAGAGAGACAAAAAAATTAATGTATTATTAATAAATATATTTAATTACATTTGAGAATTTTTTTTTTTTATTCGATAAAGAAAAATATTTATAATATTTTATAGCCAATAATTATTATTTGAATCGAAGTAAAATGATTACCGGTTAATTTTTTAGGGCCCTGAAAAACTCTTAGAAGCACGTGTTTACTTACAATCATGAAAATGTTCTCTAAGTAGTATATATATATATTTATATTTTTTATAATTAATATTTAATAAATCGAATCATTAGTTTATTGTTATTTAAAGTTAGGATCGTTATTAACGAACTCGTACCTTTTTTTTTATTTTTATTTATTAACCTGATAAAATTTAAATAATGTTTAGCTTACTACTTAAGTAAATTTAATAACTTTTTTGATTTATAAGTTATATATTTACGCTGAAACAAAATGCCTATCACTAAACAATATCTTCGGTACGTTCCTTCTACATCATTTAACCTGATAAATAGTTCTGAATGTAATGGTATTTGGATTACTTTGAATAATCAAGAAGGAAGATATGTGGCAACAGGAGCTTGTGAAAATATATCTATATGGGATATGAATTTAGTTGAAAAAGCCCTTGTTTTACACGGAGAAAAAACCGTTGTCACGTACTTAATTGCTAATCCGAACAAAAAAAGTTTAGCTGCTGGTTTTAGGGATGGAACGGTTAAAACATACGATTTAGAAACAACCGAAACAAACGCAGTTTTTTCCGGACACAAATCAACTGTAACTTGTTTAGCATATGACAGTGAAGGCCATAGATTAGCATCTGGATCGAATGATACAAATGTTATAGTTTGGGATACTATTGCTGAATCTGGAGTCTGTAGGTTATGTGGACACACATCTCCAGTAACATCTATTTCCTTTATGACAGAATACAATATAGTGTTATCTGCTTCCAAAGACACTAGTATTAAATTTTGGGATTTAGATACAAATCATTGTTTTAAAACATTATTAGGACATAGAACTGAAGTGTGGAGTATAGTGTTAATGAGAAACGAAGAGTTTTTGGTTACCGGATGTGGCGACAGTGAGCTAAGAGTTTGGAAATTATCAAATGAAAAGATTAATGAACCAACTGAGGATTTGAGTTTAGTAAATGATGAAAATGTTGAAGGCTTGGTGAGTACTATTACTTACACATTAATATTAAAATTATCATTTTTTTTTTTTTCATAAAGTTTTTTTTTTTTTTTTGCAGACTCCATTACATAGTACTAAGTGTGGATCTATTTTACGTTCAGAAACTGGGAGAGTTTCAACGATAACATGTGATGCTAGTGGTAAAATCTTAGCTGTTCATGGAAATAGTGGAACATTAGAATTATTTTCCTTTGTATCTCATTTAGAAGCGCTGAGAAGATTAAAGAAGAGAAAAAAAAAGCAAAACAAAAAATCGAGGTAAATCTAGCATTGAATATTTTTTATTATACGGTAAATTCTGGTTATTTTATATCAGTTTATTATTGAAATTTTTAGTACTGATAATTCAATTCATAAAGATGAAAACACTGACACTCCTGCATTACAAGATATTGTTAAACGTCTTCCTGTTATTAAAGTTAATGGAAAAATTAAATCGAGTAGTTTAATTTTAGGAAAAACTGGCGAACTTAGGGTAGGTTGTTAATATAAATTTCAATTAGTCATTGATTTTATTTCTAATGAAAATTTTTAAATAATTTTAATTTTTTTTAAGGTATTAATAACATTAAATAACAACAGTGTAGAAGTGTACACATTATCTGTTGATATTAAGCAATCAGAACCTGCCTTTAGAAGAAAAATATTTCAACAAGGGCATCATTCTGAAGTAAGGGTTGTTACCTTTAGCTCTGATAATATGGCAATCGTAACAGGAAGTGGAGATTCTGTTAAATTGTGGAATCGAGCATCGACTGCTTGTTTAAGAACAATTAAAACCGGTTATGTCACTACATTATGCATGGTTCCTGGTGATAGACATGCAATAGCCGGTTTAAAAGATGGTCAATTGCTAATTTTAGACTTAAATTCATCCGATATTCTTGAAACTATTCCAGCTCATGAAAAAGAAGTATCTTCTGTGTATCTCATGGCTAATCAGGTATGATTTATAATTTAAGGTTTTTTTTGTAAATATGTAAATCTTACATAATTTTTTTTTTTTTTTTTTAGAGAGGATGCGTTTCAGGAAGCTATGACGGCACTGTAAAATTTTGGGATTTTGATTTAATCGAAGACAAAAATTCTGGTTTGTCAGCCAAAGTTCTCTCATTGTTACATAAGAAAACATTAAAAGTAGATGAAGCTGTTCTTTGCGTTAGACTCTCTCTTAATTCTAAGTATGTTGCTGTAGCTCTATTAGACATGACGGTAAAAGTTTTTTTCTGCGACACATTAAAGGTTAGTTTTTAATTTTTTAATTAAAAAGTAAATTCAGTTTATTTCGTTATTTATGTTGTTAGTTTTATACAATAGAAATTATTTTAAATTGCAGTTTTTTTTAAGTTTCTACGGACATAAACTTAATATTAATTGCATGGACATTAGTTCAGATTCCAATTTAATTGTTACTGGTAGCGCTGATAGAAATGTTAAAATATGGGGTTTAGATTTTGGCGATTGTCATAAGTCTATTTTCGCACATGAAGATTCCGTAACGTCTGTTCAATTCGTTCCCAAAACTCATTATTTCTTCAGTTGCGGAAAAGATGGCAAAATAAAACAGTGGGACGCGGATAATTTTCAAAAAATAATTACACTAAATGTAAGCTCTTAACTGAAATATTAAAAATATTAAATATGCAATTATTAAAGTGATTTTTCTTATGTCCAAAAAGGGACATTTTGGAGAAGCCTGGTGTCTTTCTGTGAGTCCAAATGGTCTTTATGTCGCATCCACTGGATCTGACAGAGCAGTGAGGCTAATGCTAAGGACTGAAGAGCCTTTGGTGTTGGAAGACGAAGCGGAGGAAGAAAGAGCCAGAGAAGAGGAAGAGCAACTTGCAACGGATGTTAAAACAGTTGTAAAAGGTAGATTTTAAATAGTATATACAAGATTCATACTTTTCTCAAAAGTTGTAATTTAAATACAAAACTTTTAAATTTAGGTCTCGGAGAAATTAATCTTCCGTCAAGAAAAACAGTCGGAAGTGAAAAAGGAGCCGAACAAATTCTTGAATCGTTGGAAGTCTGCAAAGAATATTTAGTTGCTCTTGACAATTATGAAAAGCAAGTTGCTTTGGGTAATAAAAATGCACAACCACCTTCGCTTCCTTTACTAATGACTGCTTACAAAGCGAAATCTGTCGAAGAATTCATGATTGAAATATTAGTTAAAATAAGGTCCAGGTATGTCTTTTGAAAAATTTGTCGAGTTGAATATTATTGATTTTGTAATTAATTTCCCTTTTACAATTTTGTTTTCAGCGATTTGGAAGAAACATTGCTGCTTTTACCATTTTCCTCAGTCTGCGAATTGTTAGAATTATTTCCTTTACTTCTTAAAAATGGTAAATGTGTCGAAACTATTATTCGAGTTCTTGTGTTTTTATTGAAGATTCATCATGGACCAATCATCAGCAATCAAAATTTATTACCCGTAATTAAAAAATGTAAAAAAATAGCTTATAAGCAACTTAACACTCTCAAGGTGAATATTTTATTAAACTTAAGGAAACGCAAAAAAAAAAAACTTTTGTTTATAGAATTCGTTAATATTTTGCACTGGTGTAATTTATTTTAGGATACCGTAGGATTTAATCTTTATGGGCTTTTGTATCTCCAAAGAAATATCGAGTTGAAGGAAGGAATTATTTTATTCAAGGATGCGACTATCGAAAGAAAAGAAAAAGTTAAAAAAAGAAAGAGAAAATTCGAAGCCGCGAAAAGAGCTGTTTTAACACTGACATAAATTTTTTAATTAAAATTTTTTATAATAAAACAAAAATTTTACGAAAAATTTTGTCGTTAAACGCGTCCATGTTTGATTAATTTCCCTCGATTAATGTTTATGTTTCAACAGGTGGCAACCTTGTTATTTACCAAAGTGTCTCAAATATGGAAGGAGAGAAAAATTTCATTTGAATTAGTAGGATAATTTTTATTAATTTTTCCATTTCGAGACTTGTTTTATTGTGTTAATTAATTAATAATAATTATATTTTTAAATTTCGATACGTATAAGTAATCATATTCTAAAATGGATTATGATTATTTATTAAAATTTCTTGCATTGGGTGATTCGGGAGTAGGGAAAACAAGTTTTCTTTATCAATACACTGACGGTACGTTCAATCACAAATTTATATCAACCGTTGGTATAGATTTCCGTGAAAAAAGATTAGCATATAAAATACAAGGAAGGAGTTACAGGGTTCATTTACAATTATGGGACACTGCTGGACAAGAACGGTAAATATTTTTTTTAATAATATCATGTTGTATAGATGATTTTGTTATCAAGACTCAATATTCATTTTTAAAATTTAAAATGAATTATTTAATTTACTATTGTGTAGGTGAATGAAATAAAAAAAAGGAGGACCTGACAACAAATCATATTGAGGTGAATTTTATTGATATAAGTAGTTGGCTTTTAATAATTAAAATTAAATAAAAAGCTGCTCTTATTAGAAAGCATGATTTTTATTATAGCTTTTTACAAATTTAACATTTTTAAATCGGCAGAAAATAAACTTTTTTTTTTTTTTCTCATTAATATATTCGCTTATGTAATATTCAGTACCTATTACTAAAATAAAAATTTAAATAATTACAAAAACTAAACTTTATTCAACTTTTCATTTATAAATATCTCATTACAATTTCAGTGTAAAAAGTAAAAGAGTTTAAAATAACTTGATTCATAACAATAACCCAAAGTTACACTTTCACATAATTTTAATCGCAAACAAAAATGATATGCAATATTCTACATAACACATTTGCAATATTTTAAAATTATCACTTTTATTTACATAATTTATTATTTTTATTATTATTATTATTTTTATTATTTTTCCACGACTAGATTTCGGAGTTTAACACGAACATTCTACAGGGATGCCATGGGTTTTTTATTATTATTCGATTTAACTAACGAACAGTCTTTTTTGGAAATCAGAAACTGGTTGGACCAATTAAGGGTAATTCGAACAGAAAAAAATAATAATAATAATCATTTGTTATGATTTTTTATTATCTAATACTGTGATAAATGATACCTACCATGAAATTTCAGACTCATGCCTATTGCGATCAACCCGATGTTGTTTTATGTGGGAACAAATGCGATTTAGAAGAGAAAAGAGTAATAAGCGAGGAAAGAGCAAAAGATGTCGCTCAACAACACGGGTGTGTTAAATTACAACATATGAGAAAAAATTATTTAATACAAATTTTATAAAAAACAATATTTAAATTTTTTTTATTTTTCATTTCGATAGACTAGAATATTTAGAAACGAGTGCAGCGACAGGTCACAATGTTGCCAAAGCAATCGATTTACTATTAGATTTGGTTATGAAAAGAATGGATTCCGCAGTCGACAAAGCAATATTACCAGGGTTCAAAGATAAATCGAAAAAAGGACCCATATTAAATAATTTTGGGGGTACAAGCGGATTACAAAGAAAATGTTATTGTTGATTATTATTAACACAATTTAAAATCCACGTTCACATCACAAATTCACAAAAAAAAATCCTTAAAATTAAAATTACATTTATTGATCTTACTAACTTTTTACACTGCCATTGTTGAGTACTTTACATAGAAAAAAAAAAATGGAAGTAAATGAATCAAGTCATCATTCAATTAATCTGTAAATTTTAAATTTATAAAATTAATATAACCGAATAGTGCTTTAAGTAATTGTTATCAATATATATATAATCACAATCAATGTGGAAAATTAATAATTTTATTTTGTTTTTCTCCTACTACTATTCTTCTTAATAAGACATATTTAGACTCATTATTATTATTATTATTAATAATATAATTAAAAATTTAATTTTTAAACTATTGTCGAATATATATACATAATTGTTTGTTGTTGTTATTTTGTAACGTGCCTAAATATGTTTAAATATATATATTATTTGTGTAATTATAAATATATTCATTCATTCATTCATCGAATTGAATTTGAATGAAAAGTTGATTGAAAAATTTTTTTTGTCGTTTATCAAATGGCCTCCTCAAATTTTTAAATTATTTATTTATTTATTAGATTAAAATAATTTTTGTTAAAAATAAAAAACACTGAAGGATTTTTTTTTTAATGTAATAAATAATCAATGGTTTGCCTTTTTATGTAATTAATAATAATAATAATAAAAAATTTATCAAAGAGTCCGCCAAAATTTTTTGTAAACAACAACTTCATTTATTTATTTATTTATTTCGCAAGTTATTATTTATTAAAATAAATTTTTCGGTGAGGAAATTGGCAAAATTTCTATAGAATGAAAAAAAATAAAAAAATCGTTTCTTATTTAAAGACCACGTTATTTTCCTCAAGGATTTTCTTTTCTTCTTCGTAGTTTTTCTTTTTTTTTTAATTGACGTAAAACGTTTTTTTTTTTTTTTTTTTTTTTTTAATATCAAGCCAAAAAACTTTTAATAAAAAAATGTAAAGGAATTTAAATAATAATAATAATATTATAACGTTTCCATGGACTTTAAATTTTTTTACATTTACATAAACCGGAAGTTTTCAGTTTTTTCTTTTTAATTTCATCAATTATTATTATTATTAATAAAAATCTAACACCATTTCATTAATAATATATATATATATATATATATATATTAAACAATTTAAAATAGCAAAAAAAAAAAAAAATATATAATTTTACAATTAATAAGGCATTTGTCATTATAATTATTATTATCATTAATACTATTTTTAAAAGAAAATTATCGATATTTTTATTTTTAATAATAATAATAATAATAAATAATAAAAAACAAAACAAAACAAAAATTTTCCAAGCTGATCCTTCTTATCAAGCGTAATAATGATTTTTATGTAAAAAAAAAAAAAGGATTTTACAACCCTTAGCTCTTTATATTTTTTTTAGTATTGAATTCAAGCAAATTATGGTTAGTTTGAATAAAATTTTCCCTTTCATCCTTTTTATCCCCTTTCCCCCCTCCCCCCGTCTTACAATTCCCACTGATGCATCATAATAATAGGGATTCTTTTACAAATTTTTTTTTTTTTTTCACAACCCAATTTTCTATCTATTATAAAAGCTTTAATCAACAAAGTTAAAATAATATTAAATTTAAATGACTATGATTGCTATAAAGCATTTTAAAAATACATTTTTTTTTCCTTTTTTTTCCTTTTTTTCCTTTTTTCCTTTTACACGATTTTAAAAAGCAAAAAAATTTAACAATTCGACGGTATTGAATCTTCACCATTGTCTGGGTGGGTTTTGAGGATTAGAACCTCCCGGTTGTGTCGGATATGGGTATCCTTGAGGTGGCTGCTGATAAGGAGGCATCTGATAATTGCCTAAAATGTTTACAATCAATTTTTTTTACAAAACGATTTTTTTTTTTTTTTTTTTTTTTTTTTACAGTTAAAATAAATTCTTACCTTGTTGTGGGTAAGGCAGAGTTCCATAAGGACTATATCCGTGCGGCATCGGCGGCGGAATATAAGTCGGATATGGAGCCGTTCCAGCTGCTGCGTATGGTACCGGCATCGCAGTCGGATATTCGGCTGGATATGGTGCAGAGTAACCCGACGAAGAGCCCGACGTTGCGGGTGGTGGTGGTCTCGGAGGCGGTACTTTTACTCCACCTGGCGATTAACATTTTCCGATAATTTTCCACGAGTAGGAAAAAGTAGGTAAGTAAAAAATTGAGTTTAAAAAAAAAAAAAAAATCAACCTGAGGCTCCATCGGACGGATTCGGGAAAACGGAATCGGATCTGCTCGCTTGTTGAGTTAAATCTTTCATTAATTCTTCTTTTTCCGTTTTTCTTGCGAAACAAAAGTCGCTGATTTTATTTTGAAAAGCCAACAAAAGCTGCGAAACCAAAAAATAAAAATAAAACATTTCGAAAAACGATTCGAATATTTTAAAAAAAAAACAAACAAACGAACGGGGGGCGAGGACGGGTACCTGAGTTAAATCGTTGTAAAATTTTGATCCTTCTTTCAAATGATTTTGCAATTCCATGTAAGCATCGTAGGCGGCTGCCATATCTTTCAATATTTGTTCTCTTTCCGTAGATTCTTTAGGTATTTCTTTTGCAAATTGAGAATGTGCTTTCTGTAATTATGTTAAGACAAAATTTTTAACCATACCTAAAAATCGATAACGTTAAAAAAAAAAAAAAAAAGGAGGATTTTCTGAAATTTAACCTGAATATCTATGATAAGACTTTCTTGACGTGACACGCTGTCCTCTACTTGTTTCCTCAAAGTCCCATACACTTTGTCCAAAGCTTCGTTGCTTATGGAGGCTTCTGATATTGCACCATCTTCGGCTAAAGCTCGAAGGAAAGTTTGCCTCATGTCGATTGTGGCCGATTTCAATTCGCTTTCGATGACTTCTCGTTCTGCTTTTATCGTGGCGACGTCCTCCATTAATTTTCTCAATTCTTTCACTGCTTCCGTTTGTTCAATCGTTTGCTCGGATGGGCCCGATGATGGTACAGCATTTTTCATTTGATCCTTGATTGTAAATTTATTTAAATTTTTTTTTTTTTTTTTTTTTTAAAAAGATAACAATGATAACAAATAATAATAAAAACTATTTACTCTGGGCAGGCTGAGTAATTCTATTCCTTTACGATGATTTTCAAATTTTTTCGCAACGATTTCATCGGCTTTTACGGCGCCATTAATTATTTCGCGATATTTTGACGCGTTGCTTCGGAAAACTTCCGTCAATTTTTCCGATGGCGTTCGATTCCATTTTTCTTTGAATTGTGCTCTCAATTGATCGTCTGATTCTTTTTCTTCGGTAAGCAACCGACAAGCCTGAAACCAAGTTTTTAAAAAATTTTTCATTATAATTTGAACAACATATATTTTAAATTTACTGTTAGACATGCGATAATAATAATAATGCGTTATGGTACTGTCGCAGAGGTGCTATTAATCTTATTTATTTTTATCCAATCCCAATATCATTATTATTCTTTACCTCATCGAGTATTTCATTATTTCTCTTCAATAATCCTGGTAAATCAGTGAAAATGCTTTGAAGGGTTTTTAACCCTCCATGCTCTTTAACGGTATCCCCTTTCTCTAGCAGAGATGGTGGTAAATCATTACCCGAGGTATTTTCTATAGCAGCGGGTAAATTTAAAGATGCCAAAGTACTGAAATGATACACCACCTTCTCCTTAGAAAATGCATTAATAATACCGGTACGGATAACAATAAAGAGTAAATATTTTTTTGCTGTCGTTGTAAAACCATTATATCTATCTATCTATCTATCTATTTTTCTTAAAAGCTATTCGAAATAAGAAGGGAAATAAAAAAATTAAATTAAAGGTCCTTAAAAAAAAAATACCTCATTCAAACATTCGATATTTCTTTTACTTAAAAGGGGCAAATCGTCAATCACGGCTCTGAGAGAATTCAATCCGCCATTTGCTTTTATTACGTTTCCTTTACTTATTATAGATAACGGGAGATCGAAAAGAAGTGTATTTTCAACAGCAGCAGGTAAATTTTTGTCATTTAAAAATCTACAGAAATTTAAATTTCAAATCACAGAAAGAATAATGGCTTTTTTTTTTTTTTTTTTTTTTACTCATTCATATTATTTAAAAACTTGATGAAATGATTGTCTCACCTGTTTAGTACATTCGTTGCATCTCTGAGCTTATTGATTTCGGTATTGACAACTTCAGATTTTCTTAAATCGAAAGCTGCAACAGCTTGATTGACAGCCAATGGACATAGTTTTTCGAATAAATCTCTGTTACTCGAGCTGAATTTTTCAGGGACGGGAAGTGCCTTTGCCAGTAAAGCTTTTCCAATAGGAGTCAAACTTTTAACATCTGGGATTCTTTCGTGATAAATGAAATCATTGTCTTTTTTCGCTTCCGTCAGGTTTTTTTCAATTTTCACAGCATAATCATTAAATAGCAAACTTTTTCCAGATCTCGATTGAGCAGCTTTAATCAATTCAGAAGCAAGCTTTAAAAAAAAATGAAAAATTAAAATTTTTTAAAATTTCAATTTAAATGTTTGTTTTAAAGCATTCTTTTATCAATTGATTACTTCTAATCTAGCAATCTCTTCTCCTATCAATTTACGACTTTTGCAAACCAAAGATTGATAATATTCTGAAAGAGCATGATAAGCAGCTTGTTTTCCTGTCACAATGGGTATCCACTCCTTATCCCATAAATTTCGTAAAATTTCTTTTTGAAACAAATTGACAACTTCAGAATACATTTCTTCTGTTTGATGACACAACTTTGCAATAATAGCATCTTTCATTTGATCTTTTCAAGAGAAGGAGGGGGAACAAAAAAAAAAACATTAAAATTAGATTGGTAACGGAAAGAAAAATAAATTTTAAAATTGTATCACTTACCCAATATAGCTTTTCTGACAAAGATTTCTTGAGCTTGAGCAAGCATGAGAGCACTTAATGCACTTAGTGTATCAATATTTAAGTCTGGAGTAGGTTCTTGATGAATTGCTACAACTACAGCAGCTTTTAAATGAGTAAATATACCAGCAGCTTGTTGAAATAATTTAGCTGCTAATTTTAAGGCATCGTCATTGTCTAAAGACTGGGATGCAGCGACTGCACTTTGAAGAGCAGCAATATTATAAAGAACACAAACTTTTTCATATGATAAAGAACAAATTGCTGCAAAAAGTAAATTATGATACAATTACCATTAAAGTCCTTAAATTGTTTCTCGTTTTAAACTTAATGTTGAAATTTGATAAAATTTAATAGAATAGTTCATTTAAAGAACATTTAAAAAGTTGTTAAGTTCTTATCACAAAGAATTGGTGGTAGTACAACATATGTAATAAATTAATTAGTCATATTATGATATATTTTTAGAAAAATTTAAAATATCATAAATTTCAATTTGTTTTTGCTTACTTAAACCAATTTTGGTTCCAAATATTGATCCCTTATCAAATGCATCTTTCCACTTAAATGGTATTTGAACCTCATGTGCTGGAACTTTACTTTCCAGCAAAACTAATTGATCATAGTAGCTGTAAATAAATGAAATAATTAAAATTTAAAATTTCAATTATAAATATGATAAAAATTTTTATCTGTCATTTAATATTATAACTTGTTGAAACTTGGATAACTAATTGCAACCGTTTGCAAAATTAAAAATTTTTTTTTTTTTTAAATTAATTTCATTTTTAAATATAAGAATCATCATCTTTTTGGCAAATGTTTTGTAAAAAAAAAAAAAACAAAAATATTTTAATAGTAATAGAAGTCAATAACTTTTCTTTATGTCAAAATTAATTTCGGCGTATAATTAATTAATGACTCACCTATATACGACTTCCAGAGAGCTTTCGAATTTTTCAAAAAATTTCCAGACAGCGGTACTACGCATTTTATTAAATTCAGCAATTTCATTGTCACATTCCTCCGGATGATCAGCAGAGCTGAATGATCCTTTAACCAAATTTCTTAAAGGCTGTACCAAGTCGATGTCAGTTGGTTTTTTTAAAGGAACAGATAATAACTCAGCCATTTTTAATAATTATGATAACCTTGTACCAACTGTAAAAAAAAAAAAAATGAAAACATTAGCATAAAATTTTTCAGGGCTCTTAATAACCGTTAATACCCTTGAGATTAAAGCTAAATGAGCGAATTAAACATTTTTTTTAAAAATCTGTTTCTTTTTAATTATATAAATCGATTTATTTTAAATATACGTATATATTTTCGTGTTTTGCGTCATTTCTAAAAAACTAAAATAAAACGATTGGGATTAAGTTAAACAAAAATTGTCAGTTTTTAATATTTAACTCTAACAAAATATTTTTCAATCAATGACAACAACAATGACCGTTAGTAAATATTGAAAGAATTTTTTTTTTCTTTGAATTTTAACTGTCGCCAACGACAAATATTAAAAAAAAAATTAGATAAATTATTGTAGAATATATTTCATTCAACAACAAAAAAAATAAATAAAAAAAGTAAATTTGTTCAACATTGGTCAAGGGTATGGATAATTTTCAATGCGGTTTAGTACGGAAGAAGCGCCATAAAACGAAATCATGTCAAACAATATCAGCAAAATTGTAAGCTAAACGTAGGTGGTGTTTGCAACTCCACTCTGGCATTATTTGTCAGAGTGTCGACCATTTTTTTTTTTTTTTCTGTTATTTTTGTCAGTTATATTCATTGAACGTTTGCATTCTCGTGTTTAAATTTTAGAGTTTTTATTTTAAGTGAATTTAAAATAATTAATTAAAAAGAAATGGAAACAGTTGAAGAGCATTATGATGGAGATTTCCGTCGTAAAGTAACAAGGAGGAGTTATAAAATAGAAGAAGTAAGTGTTTTATTTTCTTATCGACCACCGCCCTATGAGCCTATATAACTTTCACAGGTTAACGTTTTTTTTTTTTTTTTTTTTTTTTTAACACCGGTCATTAATGAACCTAATTTAAATGGAGGCGTTATAATAATAATAATAATAATAATAATAATAATTTCTTTGCAACGTGATTAATTAGTACAGTTTTAATTAATATCAATTTTTCACACTGAAAATTGATATACTTTTTACAATTAAATAAATCTATATAATTTTATCATCAAATTCATCCATTTTTTTTTTTTTTTTTTTTTTTCTGTTCATATATCATTTATTAATGAAAATTTTTTTTTTTTTTTTTTGGTCGTTTCAAGTTATTTAACTTGATTTTAATTAAAATATTGTTGAGGTACCTAAAAAATTATTCATGTGGAATTACTTTAGAGAATTTATTGAGTGATGAAAAAAGGTTAATTGATTATTTATCTCATTCGAAATCATTAATTATCAATTATTATTTTTTGTGTGTTTGAAAAGTACTTTTAATTATTATTTAATCAATGATAATATTTGTATCCATTCCATTGTATTGTGAATTTGTAAATCCAACTTACGAGTATATCACATTAAAAATTTTAACGAGTTAAAGAGTAAATTTAAAAGTCAGTTGAAAAATTGTATGTAGTTAGTAGTCAAAATGAATCGATTATGGATTATGAAGTATTTTGTTTTATATTTTAGTAATGAGGTTGTTGTGAAAGTCTCAAAATACATTTTATCTTTTTTTTTTTATCGAAATAAGTAATTATCATATCTATCGATGGCATTTTCCTTGTCGATGAAAATATGAGTTTAAAGAAGTACAGAATGATTAATAAACTTATATTATTATCTCTTTCTTTCTTTCTTATTTAGTTAGGGTTATTATACTTTTTAAGAAATGTTATGTAGTCGATAAATTTTCATGTTGAAATAAACATGAAAATTATTAATTTCGATTATCGAATTCAATTCAAAAAGTCAGTTAGATGTTTGCCAATTGATTAAAGCATAATATTTAAGCATGAAATTCAAAACTGTATTTTTATTTTTTTATTTTATTTTTTATCCACACAAATTCAAAATGCTCTAGTTCAAAGAACTTTAGTTTAGTGTCAAAACTCATAAATAAAAGTTTTTTTTTTTTTATTTTTATGGTTGGGTTTTATTATTAGTATTATTATTATTTTGACAAATTCATGAGAGTTATAAATAACATTTTTTATTTTCATTAGTTATTTTTTTCCTTTATATAAATTAATCAATTTAATATTTCTTTTTTTTTTTTAATGCCAGGGAAAATATTGAATATAAATAATAGGCTCATACAATAAAAGGTTTTCGATTAAGAATAGATTTTTAAAACAAAATTTGACCTTGCCCATTCCGGCAAACATATTATTTATCATGGCCGTCATCCAAAACTTCGTCGATTATCTTAATTTTTTTTTTTTTTTTTTTTTTTTGATATGTGTAGTAGTCAATTGCAATTTAATTGATTTATTATTATTATTATTATTGTTTTGTATAAATGATGATAAGGTTTCCTTGTAATAATAATAACAGAACACCGATAATTAAAAAAAAAATCAATCAATCAATCAATCAATCATGGTTTTTTTCCATTAACATCATCATCATCATCATCATTACAATTATTATTATCATTATTTTAAATATTTTTTTGGGCCATCACGTTGCAGCAATAAAAAAAAGAAAAATCTTTAAAAACATATGCCACTGTACAAAATTATTTTTAAACATGGTGTAAGCTTTTTTTTTTTTTTTTTTTTTTAAAAAAAATATGAAAAAACTGATTAATTATTGTTTTAAAAATGCAAAAATCGTGTTGTTGTTGTTGTTTTTGTTTTGATTTAAAAAACGTTATCATTTAAAATTACCAGAATTTTTTTTTATCAGTTAAATGGTTTCCTTTTTTTTTACGTCCAAATAATCGTAAATGGATTGAAATATAAATTGAAAAATTGGACATCAAGGTTGACTACGAACAATCGACCTTTTTCCCCTTATTGTCTTATTATGGCATTTCACTATATATTTCTATTTGAAAATTCAATTTTTATATATAAAGCATAACAAACAACCTTGGTTGTTGGTTGTTGTAACACACTATTATACAAATTGTTACAATATGGTAAAAAAAAAAAGAAAAAAAGAAAAGTTTGTGAAAATAGAAAAAAGAAAAAATTTATTTTGGTATTAATCGAAACACGTGAACGTTTTAATGTTTTTATTTATTTATTTATTTATTTTTATTACTTTTTTTTTTTTTAGTTCGTTACGTTTGTTTGTTTTTGTAATTTTTTTTTTTTTTTACAACAAACAGGAATGAATATAACAAACGTTTGTTCGGTTGAACGTTCGTTTTAAAAACGAAACTTTTTAAACCCTTTCGTTCGAAGCAATAAGATTATTAATTGTGACGACGTTACTTATACAAAAAAAAATGACATTTTTTAGGCAAAACGAACGTGCGAACGGGTAAAATTTTCAATGATGATGATGATTATTATTGACTGCTATTATTATTATTATTATTCACACTCGACAAAAATTCAAAATCAAAGGCTTTTTTTTTTTTTTTTGTTTTTGTTCTATTTAAAAATATTTTATAAAATTGTCGTCGAAACACAAGTAGGATACAAAAACAACGACAAACAGCAAGGTTTCGCAAAATTTGAAATAATAATAATAATAACCTTTTCGTAGGTTAATATAGAATAAAAAAAAATCAAGGAAAAGTTTTTGAAATTTTTCAAAACGTTGAAATATTTTCTTATCGTTGAAATAAAAAATTTTCAATAATTTTCTTCGTGAATTTAAATTTCCGAGTAATAACTGAATGGGTAGTAATACAGGAAGTAATTTTATTTTAAAAAAAAAATTTCGGTGGTACCGATTGTTATTCGATACAAACCTGGTGTAGTAATTACTTTTTTCGAAGCGGTTAGGTAAAAAAAAAGGGGGGGGGAACACGCAGGTACGTATTTAAAGGCATTAATGCGATGATTATAATTGAAATTCCATTAAGTACACACTACTCGTCGTAACCCATTGATTTCTCCAAGCGAATAATTAAAAAAAAAAAAAAATGTTACGTGATAGATGGGTAGATGATTGAATTGGGGAGAGGGGGAGGGGGAGAGGGGAAAAGGCGCCTTGATTTAGTTAATTTTCTTCCTTCTTTTTTTTCAAAAAAAAAAAAAATTTTTTTTAACAAAGTTGTATAAACGAAACGACATTGAAAACTTTTCCGAGTAATGAGAGAGAGAGAGAGAGAGAGAGAGTACCTGTCGAATTTTTTTTTTTTTTTCATTGATTCTCGTTATTAATTATTTAATTTACTTTGACTTCCGGTTTTTCGATTAATCGATCTGTTTAAAGTTGGCAATTACGTTTCGATGGTGATGGGTTTTGATTTTTTTTTTTTTAAAGTTTTCCTCTTTTTAAAAAAAATTTTCCGAGTGTTTTTTAAAAATTGTTTAAATGATTAACGGTTTTTAAATTCTTAACTTTAAAAGGCGAAGGCTCGAAATTATTATTATTATTATTATCACTCTTAAACACGACAAGGCTCTTATTTGTCGGGGTTGTTAAGTATTTATCCCAGGTCTCTACCCGATTCCTTAGGGACAAATACTCGAATATCGGTGGTGCTATTTATAATATTTTCCGAAGAATGTGGGCCGTCCCACATAGTGCGATTTCCTGGATGGTTTCTTCTTTTAGGTTCTTCATAATCTTCTTTAAATTTCCTTTTATTGAATGTGGCATGGCTCCCAATGCTCCCACGATGACCGGAATCGTTTCTGTTTTTGTTCCCCACATCCTGGTTATTTCGATTTCCAAATTTCTATATTTCAGCCTTTTGTCTGCTTCTTTGGCTGTGGTGTTTTTTTCTGCCGGCACGGATACCTCAATTAATTTACACCATTTTTCCGCATTATGCCTG